ACACACACACACACACACACACACACACACACACACACACACACACACTGGGTTCACATGCTTTCGCAGGCGCGCACACACAGACGCGCACACAAGCACGAGCACATAAACACACCCACCCACCCACACACACACACACACACACACACACACACAGGGTTCACACGCTTTCGCAGGCGCACGCACACACACGCACAGAGGCGTGCAGGTCATATTACAGGTCAGACAGACAACCATGAAAGGTTAAGACGACCGTTCATCTATTGAAAAACAAAGGAACGATTTAAAAACTACAAATTTTCAAAAACTGGAAAAAAGGGAAAAAGAAGAGAGGACGAAACGGAAAAAAAAAAAAAAAAAAAAAAAAAAAAAAAAAGGAGACAGGGTGGAAAAAAACGAATGAACCAGTGCTATGTCGCTGAATCGTCCACCCATGAACTTGTTTCTGATAAACAGACCTGAGTTCGAATCCTGATGAGAATCAGTCTCAATCAGATGAATAAAACACACCTGTGAATTACCTGGGGCTACCGTAGTTAGCTTGAACTCTGAAGATTGGGAACTCAAGGCCGTCGTCCGTCTTAAAGCAAACACAGAATAACAAGCAAAACAAAGAAGTTTAAAAAGCCAAGCTTTTTTTAAGTGAAAAAAAAAAGGCGTATTGGCTGGTTGATTGGTATGGCCAGACGCTCTCGTTGCCAGGGTAATGAAGGCACACAGCTTAGACCAGCCATACTCAGCCAGATAGGGACCAGTTGTCCTGATTCAGCCTGTAAAAAGGATGAGATTCATGCACTGAAACAACTGTCGCTACAGAATTGATAAAAATGATAACAGTCATCATCATCATAATGACCACATATCGATATGCCCTTACTTGGGATTCGTCTCTGGCAGCGAGCGGATGAGAAGCATCTCGCCATCCTTCCCTCCTCCAAAGGTCGGCTGCATCTCATCTCCCTTCAATACGCTCCGAAACGTCAACCTCCCTCTCATCAACCCCCTTGCCACCCCGTCCACCAGCTCCTTCTGACTGATGTGACCTCGCTTGTAAACCTGATCACACACACACACACACACACACACACACACACACACACACACAGAGGGTTCACAAGCTTTCGCAGGCGCACACACACAGACGCGCGCACAAGCACACACACAAGCACACAAACGTGCACACGCACGCACACACACACACAGGGTTCACACAGTTTCGCAGGCACACACACACACGCGCACACAAGCACAAGCACACAAACACACACACACAGACACACACACACACACACACACACACAAACAAACAAGGTTCACACGCTTTCGCAGGCGCACGCACACACACGGGCACACAAGCACAAGCACACACACACAAGGCACACAAACAGAAAGACAAACAGAGTTGGGGTAGGACAGATTGATTGGTTTATGATTGAGCTGACACATAGTTCCAGCAAACACACGCTGCAGATGGATTCATGATTTCCATGGGAGACAATTACTTGTGGGCGTCGACATCAGATCGGCCCACAGCACAACCGGTAGGAGAGTGGCAATTAGTTGTGGGCGACCAACAGACAGACAGACATATTGACTGACATACCTTCCTGGGTCTGTGTACCCTTACAACCACACTGGTTCTCAGCTGCCCACGTGGTCTCCAACAGTCCAATAGGAGAGCATACTCTGATTTCATTTACAGAGAAACAGAGGGACACAGAGACACACACACACACACACACACACACACACACACACACACACACACACACACACACACACAGAGAGAGAGAAGCTTCCTTGTGGCTAGAGAACGCCATAGAGGAAATCAAGCTGAGCGCGAAAGAAATCTACCCTCTTCCCCCCAACAGCACGACGCCTGGGCATGGCATATCCTTATCAAAAAATTGCATCTTTTTTCTCAATACCTCTTAAACGTACACCAATATTATCTCCACCAAAACCTTGTGGCTCTCAACGTCTTCTAAACATTCCTCTAAACGTCTTCTAAACATTTCCAGCCCTATAACAACTGCACTACGAGTTTTTTCGTTCAAAGTCAATTACTTCAACAATATCTCCTGCTAATTTTAAGATACCATGTTCTATTCGGCCTGTGGCAACTGTACCACGGCCTCGAATTGAAAACACGTCTTCCATTGGCATTAGAAAACGTTTTTCAAATTCCAATGTCTTTTTTTTCAGGGGTAGGAAAATAAGAGTCAACTGCATCCATCAACGCACAGATTTTATTCACCGACTTATTTTCGCCTCTCAAAATATTCGGTTTTTGTGACAAATCGGGGAACCTTAAGCATTCTTAGCTCAGCTCGATAGAGTGGCAACAACTTTCACAATCTAAGTTGAAGCTCACAGGTTCAAATCCTGTAGGGGTTTCTAGTACCAATCTCTGGTCCACGATCAGCCGAAGAATTCTTTGGGAGAGTGGCCGAAGAATTCTTCGTAGGGGTTTCTAGTAGCAATCTGTGGTCCATGATCGTAGGGGGTTCTAGTACCAATCTCTGGTCCACGATCGTAGGGGTTTCTAGTA